GGTGGGATAATGGGTGAAGGAATCAACTGTGTAAGACATTGACCCTGACCCCGTGTCACATTGTTCGTACTTTATAACCTTCGGGTTTTCGGATGGGCTTTACAGTTTCACTTTCGTTACTCCCCGTGAGGTACATCCTGGGGACTACCCGTTAAGTGATACTCCCAGTTTTATTTAACCGTTACTTGAAAAACTTTTATTTTAATCAAATCGGATTTAGGGAGGGTTTGCTTAAAGCCGTTTATAGCATCGATAGGATAAATACTGGTAATTGAGATTTACGGATATTTATTTGAATTTAAGTACTGGATTTAATCGACGATTGTAGCGGACGCATTATCATATTGGAAATTGGATGTGAGGCATTCCGCAATTGTAGTCGTTTATCGGTTTGCTTGGAGTTTTTATTCATTCTACTTAGAAATACCAGAGGAAAAGAATTTATAAGTTTTTGATTTCGTCAAATCGAAATTTCCCTATTTTTCCCAATTTTTCCAGAAGACCCAGACAAAAATGACAGAATCCACTGAAAAAATTTTAATTAACATTGAATTAAAATCATATCAATCAAATCAATTGCAAGTGCAGATGATTCGATGAAATTTCGGGGAATTTTAAAATGAGTGGAGAGATCTTTTTGTCGGCACGTGTACTACATATTATGCCGTTTTCTTCAGCACTCTCCGCACCCTTACCTTTCTGCAATGGGTACACCCTGGTACCCTTCATATTATTCACTATTTGCTCTCCACCATTGGTAATTCCCCCCGCCAAGCTCCCTGTACCCCTTCCTCTTTGTCCCATGGACCACAAAGGCTCGAGAGCATCGATTAAAAGCAATCTCGACGAGTGTAAATATAAACGTCCCGGCTGGCGCTCGATCCGCTTCTTTCTCCCATTTTTTTTTTCCTCCTCATCTCCTTTTTTTCACCGAACGAGACACAATTGGTCGGGTCGGAGAATAGTCTTTTCAATGTCGCGACAAGGGCTGTGTATTACAATCGCTCTTGCACGCAAAACTTTTTCCCATATTTTTGTCGGCAAAAAAATTTTTTTCTCAAGAGAAAGAAAAAAAAAATGTTTCACCTCAAACTTTTGACATTTGAGGCAATCGCCGGTTGAAAATTGGCCATTTCTTCTTTCCATCCAGCTTTATCGCGGTTGAATCTCGACGTTTAAACGAGTTTTCTACGGGGTGTCTTAATTTACGAGCGACCATAAGTCGTCCCGTCTATTTGTGAAAAGAAGACGAGACTGAGAAGGAGTTTGTGATTCACGAGCTCGTATAAAGGGCGTTAACAGTGACATCCAATTAAGCTGTGAAAGAGTAACAGAAATTATTTAATGTCATTGCACCGATGAAAATCAATAACCGCAATGGTGTCTGAATAAGTTATGATGAGAGAGATTCATGTGAAGGTTGTATCGGAATACCGATGGATGTTTCAATAATTTCTCAGGTACCTAAAACCAGGGTGATAAATAAACACCATTATCTTTCGATTTCCATCTCCCTGGGATACCACCCCTGACTGATAAATTATAGCTTGTTAGCGACACGCCTGGGTGTTGTTGAAAGACATAACTTCTCCACCAATACCTTTCGCGCCACCCACTTATCCCTAATTTTCATCGTTTGTTGGAACGAAAATTCGTGATCAGGAGTACTACGTTTAACCATTAAAATATTCCATTAAGCTGGAAGGAGCAAGTGGAAATGGGCTCTCTCTGCCTTTGCGATTAAAAATCGATGACTGCAAACAAAGCACTTGAAAAAAAAAAATAATAATAATAAAAACTCAACATCCACTGGGTAATGAAAAAGTTTTATGATAAAATATTCTCGCTTGAATAATATATATTTAATCCGCTGCAAGATTGGAGGTTGAAAGTTTGATTAATTCCGCTAGATAGAAAGTTGTTTTCTTTTTTTTTCTGTTTTGTTGTGTACGGGAAAATAGATTTGAGGGGAAAACTTCGACAATACTCACTCAATGTAGACAGACTGAGCAAGATATTCAGTGAAGACATATCACAAGCAATTGGAGTTCTCAAAGTAAATAGACTCGAATCTGAAAGAGGAAGGATCAGGGAGAGAGATTGCTATTAAAATTATTAATCGCGAAGAGGCTCTCTTCCACCCACCGGCAAGAGTGGAATGAATATTAATCCTGGAAGGCAGCTAATTAACTCGAAGGGAATGATTTTCCTCCCGCCGGAAGTGCATCGATTTAGTTTCACCATGGCAACCTGTTTTAAGACTTCTCCATCCAATGAGAATCACGGATTTGTCGGAGACTCGACGAGTGACGGCTAAACAATAACGTCTCCATATATTTATTCATTCTCTGCTGCTCTTATTACTTTCTTCTAAAATTTTCTATTCATCGAATTAAATTTTTTGATTCATAATTTGTTTCATGATAAATCAAATTCATCATTTATTCCAACATATTAATTTGGAATTGGAAATGATTGAAATGATAAAATGGAAATAGAAAATGGTGAGTACAAGCATGTCAATTGTTGGCATCCCGTAATTCGTTAGAGGGAAAACAATAATACGGAAAAAATATAGTTAGCTGTGAATCTCGTCTTTTCTCAGTTTTTTAGGATCTGTCTAAAACTCATCCAGGTATATATTGTCAGTCTCGCCGCGGGAAGTCGTTAACCTTCCCGTTAAGATTAAAGAGATTCACCGCGGGTTTTCTGGAAAGGCTTCCTTCTCTCCACTCCTTTCCCTCCAGCTCGCCTTGGAAATGTTCGCAATTAGTGAAACTCCTGGAGGACTCTCCTCCCGGAGATATCCATCCAGAATTTTATATATAACTCAGTGATATAAAGAAGAATTCATCTTCGGGCCGCAGAGACGGAGAAAAAACTGTCTAGGAAAAGTTAACGAGCAGATCGCGGTGACAAATCTTGTATGTGGAGAGTTTGTTCATTGTTTTTTTTTACCGAGTGGTTGAAGAAAAAATTCGAAATATATCAATGCCGAAAGGAATGTTTAATTAAAATTACTTGGTTTATTCAATAATCTCACAGCGAAATATCCTAGGAGAAAAATTTCAGCAACTGTTATGGAATTTTCATTCCATCATTTTTATCGGAATTAATTTTATATTGAAAAGTATAAATTCCGGAACTTTATTGAAAATGGAAATATTTGACCTGTATATTAATAATTTTATGGATCATTAATAATCCATGAATTATTTCTGAATTTGTCCGAAAAATTTAATTATTTAAAAAATATTAAAAATCCAAAAAGCAACTTTTTTACCAAAACCCTCATAAAATGTTTAATATATTCAACATTATCATGAATTTTCAATATTTTTTAAGTGTAAGCGCGTCGGCGGTTTCGATATAGGAATAATTCATATTGAAGACCCTCAAAATGTCAATACCGAGAATTATTCAACTGAAAGAATGATTTTACCATAACGTGAGACATTTCTATGTAACATTATCGCTTTCATTCCGGCGGTTTGTTGACACTCTTGAGAACTTGCTCTGCGCAAAACACAACAAAATAGAGATACCGATTTTAATTGTTCTGCGTGTGAATAAAATGGAAATACAAAAGTTATGAGTGATGCCAACTGTGAAGTGCACGAACAATTCCACGATATCTGGGGACTATCTGCATTTTATAGACACTGTCCTGTAGTCTTGGTTGGCAAAAGCAATAAAACTTGAGGGAAATGAAGCCTCGTAGAAATGTTATTCCTTGAAAATTCTCGTCTGCGTCTGAGCGTATCGTCGACACTACCACTAACTTCCAGATGAAATTGAAATATTCGTTTTAAAACTGAGGAAACAATGGAAAAGGAAAGCGCGATAGAAAAGCCAGCTTCAAAGAAAAGAAAAATCTTCAATTCAAGATTATAATACCTTCCTCTCATATTCGATTCAATAATCTCCCACACAAAAAAATTCAGTAAAAATGACGAATCTCTCCCGTGGAATTCCGGAGTGAAATGTGGTCCCGAATAACTTATTACGTTATTTTTTCAGATGATTTTTCACGTGAACAGTAAATCTATGTAAATAAATAAAAATAAATTCAAATACATCATCTCGCATAATTATTAAATACATTTGACGGAATAAATTATTTTCTCAGTGCAGACTCTCATCAATCAAGTATCAATATCGCGAAATAAACGTGTAATTTAATGATTCGTGATTTACTCATGGAACTAATCTATATTCGCGGATAATTGAAATAATACGTTATCCGTGGCGTGAGTGGAGTCGATAAATTTCAATATCCTGAAATAGACGTGCCACTGTGGCTCAATCTCGAACTAATCGAAACACTGGAGAATATTCCATGAGTTCCACACATCCTATGATAATATAAATTACTTGTGGTTCATCGACACGCACCACGCTTTCTCGCAAGACTAATTTCCCACTATTTCACTTACCCCCTCACTCCCATTTCATTCCTCCTCCCGTCGATTTTCTCATTTTCCTACAGTATCGTAATACATCGCTGGGAGGTTAACGAACCCAGGCCACGAGAACAATTCCTCCGAAAATCTGGCCGTCTCATTCTCTCTCCCATTTTTTTTTTTCGCAATCTCCCCCTGCAACTGCCTACTCCCATCTCACCTTTTCCATCTCACCCGCTCGTTTCTCCCCATTTTTTCTCTCATGCCGCATTCGTTATCCGTGCATCCGAGCCAGAGTGAAAAAAAAAGCGCCTGTGAAACGTGAAAAGCTTAAAGCGGAACTCCTGTGACAGACAGGCGAATATTCACCATTTCTAGCGTTTCTTTTATTTGAAAAAAAAAAAAACAAAATGAAAAATACAAACGTAAATTTCTCTTTTTTACTGTTTCGGTACCACAGGCGATGCACAGAATACTCAATGTTTCATTTCCACGAGCGTTTCAATCACTATCGACAATTTTTTTTGTTCATGAAATTTCAGCCGCATGATCAAATCGGTTAATTGCAATTCAATAATTTTTCTAGGGATGACTTACCGGCGATGATGAAGCAACTGACAAGCATCCTCGAAGCCGGCAGGACCCACTTCCGGTCTGGCCACGAGGTGCCGTTACACTTTTTGATATCTGATTAAAACTCGATCAGTTACTCGGTTATCGACGAAATCGGAAATTTACAAAATCACCCACAACGAATCGATAGTTGATACCGATAACCAGAATCGGGCGATTTGAACAATATCACCGTGATTTATGAGTGAATTTTTTAATCTCAATGGCTTAATTTATTCTTCCGTGTTGGCGAATATTGGCGGGCGGTATATTCGCGGATGTCCTATTGCCTCCCGGCGCCCACCGGTCACGACTGTTAACGTTTACGAAGGTACAGCCTCACCCGCGCAGTCGCCAAACCCCTGTACCACCACCATTCGTTCTATCTACTCTACTCACGCGCAAAACCCCTCTCCCCTTTTTCCACTTTACTATTCGCAGAATGGGGGAGAGGGCAATGAGGGAGTAAGGCAGGTGTTACAGGAAGTCTTAGAATTCTAGGGGATGCTATGGGGTTGTTTAGGTGATACTCTCTCTCCAGTTGAATTCACAATGTCTTTGTTTTGCTCCTATAACATAATCTCTCAAATTCCCGCAAATCGCAAAAAAAAAATTTTTTTTGGGATGCCCCAGTCACACTTCATACGACGTATTAATACGACACATAAAATTTGGATTCCACAACGACGTAGAAAATTACTGAGGCAATTAATTAATCAATGAGTATTAGTGTAATTAATAATAATGTCAGCGTTAATTGAATTATTAATGAAATAATGGTGTAATTAATTTGTAATTATTAATTTGTGGATCGAAAAAAAGGTTGAAAAGGATTTATTTGATTTTATTTGTTCTTTTTTTTAAATTATATTTCTGTCAGTGTCTTCGATCATTTTGGGCCTTATATGTGAAAAGCTTTGGAGGGGAGTGATTAGAGGGAAACAAGTGGCAATACGCGATATGAAAAGTCGAGTACTGCCAGAGGAGATATGAGGAAACGTTTCGTTTTACCACACGGTGTAATCCACAATCAATAACCGTGGACTAGTTCTTTTTACCTCGCTATGCAGCTTACTTCACTGTTCAATTTCCCCTTCCTTGTCACTGCGACAATAAATCGACTCTCGATTTCTACCAAGGGAGCTCGTTGAATACATGATTGAGGGCTAAAGAATTTTCCAAGTCCATGGGCCATTACGTCGACGTAGGTTGAGAAAATCCTGCAGATTCCGCGGAAAAACTGAACATCAAAGAAAAGTAGAACGTTAAAAAGTATCCCGGAGGATCCGGTGGAATATCTCCTTGAGGTTTCACGACGTAAAAGATTGTTTTGATTTTAAATTCTCTGTGTCATTTTTTTTTTGAATCATTTTTTGAAGGTTGAATTACTTAAATTCCCATACTGCTCGAAGGTCGCTTTTTCAAATTAAACATTGGAACTGGAGTACCATGAAAATTTTTTCTCTCTTCATGTTACACGGACATTTGGTGTCAGCGAAAGATATAAGGTGTCTATAACTTTGTCCGATTATACGTATCATCCTCTGGGAGCCTTCCTGATCCTGACACCTTTCTATGTAATCTCTCGATACTTTCCACAGGCTCTCGATTCACTCACGAAGGGGGTGGAATGAAAAAAATACGACGCGTGAAAATTCTCTTATCTCTCCTTTTCACGAGCTACCCATCCGGCAAATTTTTTCTCCATTTTCACAATGGCATGTGAAAGGAGAGAAAATTGCTTGTGAGAGGATGAGAGTATAAGCCGTGAAAGTTTATGAGCGTGTCCGAAGTTGGTAGTGTGTAGTGGGCGATTATAAACGATTCTTCTGATGGTTTGATGGACAGGAGGTGTGGTTATTGGTAGACCCTTGCCCTCTCACACCATTCCATCTGTTAGACGTCCTACTGCTTGTACTCAAACCATTAAAAATCATTTATTTAAATCATTCATTTTATTCTTATCTTTGCGCGAATAAATGACGATTAACGAATCCTCTGGCATCTAGATAAACCATGAAAGATAAGATAATCCCCGGATGATTCTGGAATTCCGGTAAATAGCGGAAATTGCTGTTGTAATCGTGACGCTAATGGAATGAAAATAACTGCTCCCATTTTCAAATCCTTCATCCTCTGTTAATTTACCGTCCAGACTCCAACCCCTCACCTATACCCATCCCGCAATGTTACGCATAGTTATCATTTTAATTCTCTCATTACCCACCATCCTGAAAAGTTGAAATATAATTACAAGACTAATAGAGTAATTCAATTTTTTCCCCTCAATTTCGCCTCTGATTTAATTCCTCTCCCCAAATAAAACACTGAGAATTGTGAAAAAAAAAACTGTTAAATAATTTAATTATAACGAAGCCATTTACCATTAGTAACGATCATTTCTGTTTTTTTTTTTTTGTTGAAATATGCATCATGGAGGTTGGAATGGAGGAAATAAAACCTATACGTCATGCTTTTTTAACATTTTATGAAAATTAAAAAAAAATAATAAGAATTTTTCGACAACAGAGCTTCACTCGCTACACTGGATTCCATTTTTAATGAAAAAAAAATGAAAACAGGACAATACTAAAATAGAAATAAAAGGGAATAAAGAGAAGAGCGGAAGAGAAAAGGAGAGGAAGGAAGAGAGAATGGACTAGGTAGCCATACCAGACCCAGGGGAAGAGTGTGCAGCGGAGATGCAGCCACTGTGTCCGAGCACGTCGTTAAAACCCAACCCCAGGCTATGGAATCCCCAGGTCTCTTTTCTTCACCGTTATACTATCTTCTCTATCCCTCTTTTCCTCCCCACCTCCTTTTATTTTTCCATCATCTACTACTCCCTTGAATCCTCTCCTCTCTGTTTCTCTATCACCAGTCGCTTCGACTATTGTTTCGTCAAGTGCTACGTAAAAGGCTCGAAGACCTTTTCTCCAACCCTCTATTCGACTGTCTTCACCCTTTGCCTCGTTTCAACTTGGGCTATTAAACTCGTATTGTCGTACTTCGCGACTCACTGTCTGGGTCAAACGTTCAAGCTTCACTATTATTCCTCAAGGCATGAGCTAATAATTGAAGAGGTTAATGCATTTTTTAATGATTTGTTTTGTTTTGGGGAGAACAATGAATTCACTCTGACGAATATTCTGCAAGGGGTTGACAATAGTTGGGATGCCATTTCTAAGGCTAGTGGATATTCACTTTGGTAGTGTTTTATCTTTCAATAAATAATGGTAATTTAATGGCGATTCGCGGCATTCACGTTGAGATTCGCGTTTTATTCTTTATTGAGGTAAACAGAAAGGGGGTACCATATTTGAGGGTTGATTCAATCTCATATGTAATATCCCTCGTAAATTATTTTCCAGGTATTTTCAAATATATTTGACGTGCAATAATATTTTATTTCACGACCATTAAAGACATTAGACAAGTGAAGAATGAGTACGATAAATGCTGATCGGTTGAAGTACAATAAATTTTTTCTTCAAATCAAATGGGGAGGTGAGAAGCGGGGGTGAAAAAATTCTAGAAAATTCAAAAAAATTGAAAAATTAAAAATACCTAAAAATTGAGAAAATCCGGAAAATTGTAGAATTATCCCGAGACCTGCTAGAGGCTGCGAATTATTAGACGAATTTTACCTGTAGCGGAGGGGAGTGGAAAAAATTGAACAATTCGAAAAATTTTCAGTGGTAATAAATTTCGAGGGTAATAAAAAAAATTCGCAATACGAATTTATTGTCGGTATCGGAAAAAAATCTTGAAATTTGGGTGATAGTCTGTAGGAACGAATCATCCAGCACTCACTACCCCAACCAATTCCACACACTTCTTTCCTTATCTCAAGTTCTGATCTCGAGTATTACCTCTTGCTTGAAATACAAGGGATGCTAAAGGTTACTTGATGCTCTCTTGAGACACAGGACAATGACACCAGCCAATTCCCCACCAAATTGCTCGGTTAATCGATGCAATGCCACCTCCTGCCTCTTCCTGGCATCAGCCCCCCATTCAGATAGCTGACGCCTCAAATTCCGATTGGAGATCATATGCAATACCATTAATTAGACCATGAATGGCAAACTCTCTCTTAAATTATAAATAAATGTTCATGCCTCGGAGACGCATTGCAGTAACATTCTCCGAGAAAATATCGAGTCACTGGCTTCAAATGATTTTTAATCAAACCCCGCAACTGATGTTGACTTTAAATAAAATCTTGATTCAATCAATTATTTCGAATGCAATAAATTAACTGAATTCACAATAAATAATATTCGGAGGATTTAGAGAAGACAACTGAACGAAAACACAAATTGAAGAGGAAAAATTTCGGAGGGGCGTCGGCAATCATTGTGGAAGACAATGAGTATGAGTTTAATTACCGACGAAACTTTCCGGGGTTTGGGAATTTAAAAAGTTCTTCCCAATGGTGCCTTTACGACTTCATTCACAGCTATGAGACGTATTCTTTGATGAAGAATTTTCCTCACATCCTTTAAAAATGGCAGTCACTTTCAACATAAAGGAACAAGAAAGAAATTTGAAAAGTTTTTCATAAAAATATAAGAAGGAAAAACGTTGGCCAATGTAGATACGTTGAGTGGTGCTGCATCGTTTCATCTCTCTCGCAAGTCATTTTTTTATCAGTGAGAAACTCGACGAATGGGGAACTGAGAAAAACGGAGAGGAGTGATGCTCAAAGAAGATAGGCCACGTAAAAATATAGTGCTTGCGGCTACGTGGAGGGTCATAATTAAATTCAGATTTTCTTGGGGTGCCTTGCACGTCGGAGGTAGAGAGAAGTAATAGTAAAGAAAGTGGATGAGGAGAGAGTGAGGGAGAAAAAAATGATAACACGTTGGGAGAGAAGGGAAACGGAGGGCAAAAAGAAGGGAAAACCATTGCGAAGAGACACGAATAAGACGAAATAAAAATAAACGGAAGAGAAAAAAAAATCGAAATACGATGCGCAGCCACGTTCTGCGTTCTTGGGGACTCGCTGGTTACGTCGGTAATTGAATTAACATTCGAATCGTCCAAGCGATGAAAAGCTTTAATACCTCTTGAAGCTGATGGGTAAAAGGAATGGGAAAGGAGAAAGCTACTCCTCTTTTTTTTATCATAAATGCAACCCTGACGTTGAAGTAACTCAACCGATGGTTTTTTGGAGAGGGAGGACACGTAAAAATAAGGGTTGGGGGCAGAAAACAGGGGGCAATTTCAAACTTGAGCTTTTCAAGTCAAATTCGCTGTCGAGAGTTGCTGAAGAGGGCAATACG